TTTAGCGTTGAGGTAGATTCCCTGGCTAGTGGGTTTTTGATAGACAGATGTGGCGTATGTGCTGTTGTTGGCGTCGATATGTACATCCAGAAAATTGATGGTTTTGTCAGTGGCTATTTCATGGGTGAATTTAAGCACAGAGTTGTCCTGTAGGTTTTGTCGGAGCTTCATTAATTCATCAGTGTCCTTGGTAACAATGAAGCAGTCGTCGACGTATCTGCAGTTTCAAAAACAATAATTCACATGAACTAATATATGCTATACTATCTGGTTGAGGATTTATCATTGGCTGTCTTACCTGCTAACTGAACGAGACCTGGAAAGGCTAGTCCCACTAAAACTCCTACTCTTTGTTCTCCTAGTGGGCCTATACAAAAGGTAATTTTAGACTGAAATATGTCTACCAAGAAATAAATTATTTCTGAACAACAGGAACAATAATGCCAATTATGAAAATGACATACATACACAGCAAAACATAAGACAAGCATTTTATTAAATAGGACAATGGCTTAAGTTCTTTTTAATAACAACAAACTCCCACTATATACTGAATGCAAAACATGAGAAACTGATAGACACAAACACATATACTACGAAGCTTTTTATTCCAGTGTGAATATGTATAATTGTGTGTGTACTAATAAAATTAACAAAAGTTGTTTAAACCTAAAAGGAATATAAAGATCTGTTGTATAGTATTTTCCATTATCAACTTAGATGGGCTGGAAGAAAGAAAAACAACAACAACTACAACTTAATTCTAACCATATGATTGTGTCTTTTGGAAACTGACAAGCAAACACTTCACATTGTCAGATGATTGTCATACTTTTACTGCATAGTGGTGAATCAAACCATATATTGGATTCAAACAGTGTTTGAGCTAATACATTTATATATTGAAACAAATGAAATTCTTATACATTTTTCGTTTTATTCATCATACATTATTATTCTATCCCTTAACATGAATTCCTTGCCATAATTGGCCAAGAGCGCATCACATGGTATGAAACATTTTATGTGATGCCTTGAAGAGCTGGTCAACAAATCACCTCCATGTTGCCTGATTGTCAAGGCCACTACTATGCATGCATGATGCTAGAGCAGAACTTTGCAGATGACAATTTTTTGCAGCACAGTTAAAAAACATTAATTCATTTAGGCCTAATTACAAACAATTTGCTTAAACCCATAAAATAAATGTGGACATATCTTAAGGCACAATATTTCAGTTGCTCAAAGATGAAGAGTTGCAAAGTTGTTTAAGCAGCATAACTTTACAAAAGACAATTTTTTTGCAGCAAAAAAATGGAAATCTCAGATTCATTCAGACCTAATTAACAAAGAGCTTCAGAAATCTTGCCAGCATTCAAGGCAAATTTTATGTTGGAGTTAAACATGCATTTATTTGTACGATCACATGAAAACCAAACAATTTCTAAATCTTGCTGATTTGTTATTGCTTCTTAAAATGAGATCAAAATCTTCAATAAAATTTTAAAATTCACATATAGGCTTGAGGATTTATGCTAAATATACCAAATGATGGTGCTAATCAGTTAGATTATTAGTAAAATTGAAAACAGAATAAAACAATTATTGGGTGGTGATTTCACATAACAGATAATTTGTTGCCTTCGAACCAGTCAATAACTGTTCAATGTGAAATGTAAAATATGTTGGTTAAATTCTTATCTTCAATTTCATTATAGAGTCAAATCTGATGTTTTGGTTTCTGCAATTCAATTTCATTTTTCAGTAAAATACACTTTGAATTTGTGTGTGTGTGTGTGTGTGTGTGTGTGTGTGTGTGTGTGTATAATTGTAATATTACATTGAACATCAGAAAGAGGAAACAATGCAGCTACAATGCAGACATGTACCACATGGGCACACACCATAAGGTAGGTAGTTATGCTATTACTATTAAGAAAATAAATTTATAAATTATTTTTCAAATCAGAATTATTTTCTTTAATTTGCAGATATATTGATGATTTAATCAGTATCAATAATCCACTAATAAGTAATTATATCACTAATATTTATCCTACAGTTCTTCAAATCGAAAACACCTCTATATCAAATACCAAACATTATTTAGATCTTAAGATAATTAATAATTATTGTAATATTAATATTTATGAAAAAAGAAATGATTTTACATTCCAAATTTTTGGACTTCCCTCGCCAAACAGTAATGTACCAAATAATGCTATGCAGAGCAACATACATTCACAGCTACTCAAGTACTGTAGAATTTGTAACGATGAACAGTTCCTAATTTCCAACATTAATATATTAGTGAATAAATTGATTTTTAATGGACTTAATAAGATAACTCTAATTAAATATTTTAAATTATTTTGTAACAAGTATACAAAATATGTATGTAAATTTTAAAAAAGTAGTATAAACAAAATCATAATAAACACAATAAGCAATAACTTCTAATTTCTGTAGGGAAAATTATTGGAATAACTTATCTGGACTGTAGGTGTATTAATGTAGATATATCACTTTCTCTATACAAGACCTGCTACTATCTAATTCTTGTAGACCATTCGAAGATCTTGAAAATAGCATGGATGGGAGCTATACTAACAATTTAGGTTGGGCATGTATAGTAATACCCGAACATCATGGTATTTATGTCCAAACATCATTATGGGGGCCGGAATGCCAACTTGAAGGACAGTTTTACTGTCTCCCCCATTGATGTATGTATTCCAATTATTTATTTCTTCTTACTAAATTTTTTTTTAGCAGCCACCTTCACACATCTGGGTGCAGACAGCAAAAGGTGGTAAAGATGTGGGACTTTGTGGGCTAGAGTACCCACATTTGCTCTCTCTCTCTCTTTTTTTTTTATTCATTTTTATTAAGAATGTGAGACCTGTAAAACTGAGGTTAAACTGGGTAGACAGTGTACCCGCAAAGCAATTTGGGTCTTATTTCTGCCAGTAACTCAAAAACCAAGGTACTCTGCATAACTACCCACCTTATGGTGTGTGTGCACCCAGGTGATACATGTCTATTTTGTAGCTGTGTTGTTTTCTTTTCTCTTCATGTAACATTACAATTAATTATTTTTCATCTAAGGTTTGGATATGCAGTGTACAATTCATGCTATTCTTCCTTAGGATGTAATCTATTTTTTCAATTATATATACATGCATATTTCTTTCAAATAAATAGAAGCCAATGTATACTTTAAGTAAATGTAGTCTCACTGTTTAGTTTTAAACCTGAAATAGATTTTATGTTTTCAATGAAACTTGCCAAATACTACATTTTATAACTTCTTACAAAAACTACATGCCAACAGGAATTGTACCATAATTACAAACACTTAACTATACAGGCATGTTCAAAACAGAGTAATTTAAAAGTTAATAACATTTACCATAAAAGAGATTAATTACAGAAAAACTCAGATAAATGGCAAACATTAAATATGTATACCTGAGAGATTTCATAAGTTATCATCTGAGGTACAATATTAAAATAAATAAAAAGGTTAGAAATCCAAAATACTAACAAATTAAAAACAACAACAGCTAGAATACCTTAGTTTATATTCTAAGATATACAAAGTTAACCTGGGGAATCTTACCCCACATAAATTATATAAATCAGCTTGTGAGATGGCAATTTTTTTTGTATGGTTGTGTTTATTGTTTATTTGTTATTTTCTTCTATCATTTAGTTTATTTATGGATTATTAGTTGCATCAAAATGCTAAATCACCTTCTAGCTAATCATTTGCATTTTGAGTAAATTTGTGTGTATGATGAAACTAACACAAGCTTCCCTAGTGGTGACGTACAGATACTATTAATGTAGGAGAAGATTATGTATATTTATTATCACGAGGTGTACTTTCGTGACCTACTCAGTGAATAAATACCCTGCCAGAAGCATCCGTAACAGAGAGATAGAGACATGAGATAGTTATTGAATGATACAGTTAGTGAATTATTGCCGTTTATCACTCAATATTGTTATTAATATTGAAAAGTACTTTTGTGTTGCTGTATATTTTTGGAATTAGGTGGGTTTTTTTCTGGTACTTTTCCTGATTCCATTACTTGAAATGATATATTGTTCATTAACATTAGTGTCAAGTCCTGGCCAGGTACGTGTTTATTAGTTGTGTTTTGGTAAGTGTTGAATTTATTTCTAAGTGTTGTCATAGAAATAAATTTCTTTTTGTTGCTGTTTATTTTAGACTGTTACAAACCAGACAGATATTCAGTCAGGTTAGATTTACCTACTATGCTTAAAAGTGGCCTTAAAAATAATGTTTGGTGAAGACAAAATCATTGTCCTAACTTATTAATTTCTGGTAAATCAATTGGTATTTAGAATTTAAAAACTTCTACTGAATTTTTATAGCACTCTGAATCTAGAAGAATTCAGTGTATTACTCAATGTCTTCAAACCGACTTACATTATACATTTAACACAGATTTAAGTATTACGCAACTAAATGAGCCAATCATACCTTGGTAAATCTGACTTTTGTTTAAAGTGTCCCTCTTTTAATTGAGGTGGCTGCGGCACAGAATTCTGAGGCTGTGAAACTGGCTTCTTTCTTTCATAAGTAGGTGAGGGTCGTGGTCTATATTGTTGTTTGACTGGAGGACTAAGAACAAGTTACAAAGATGTGAAACAGAATTTCTAGATTAGCTTCACATAGTAGACATTCATTATACAAAAACATAACCTGTTGTTTTTGATATACAGTTTGTAGAAAAGAAATATTACACTCTACTTCTAAACAGTGAACTCCAACATCTTGGTTTCTCAAGAAAATAAAACATATCCTAATAAAATATTCCTTTTTCAAATTGTTAATGAAACTAATGTTTTTCCTTAGTAAATTTTAGTGTATTTCATTAACATAATGAGACAAGTTTCAAAATCTTTCGTATATAAAAATAAAAAAATGCTCTTAGAAGGGTCAGAATGAATAAACATTACCAATATCTTCTACATGCACAGGGGTGGTGGTTCACTGGACTGAGACCGTATTTATAGTAGTAGTAAATAAAATTATTTTTATTTATTTCAAATATGCAATTAAGAACAAAATATACAATGACCTAAAACTATTATAATTTAACTGGCTTCCTAATTAAACCATAAGTAGATTAAAATGATTCCCATACCTGGTCTAGGTAACCTCAATAACAGCAATAATGAATCTGTTGGCCAAGTAACTCTAACCCTATCGCATGAATGAGCTAGCCTTATACAGAAATTGGTAAATTGAAATATTCTCATTCTATTTTTAATAAGTAATCCAACAAGAAATGTCATTGGAGGGAATGATTGATGTATTTTGAAAAAAAAAAGGATGTGATGGGAGTCGTGTAATGTGGGTTTGACTTTCTGGTTTATATCTCCATTATGCAAGAAGAATGGAGACTTTAACATTAGATTATGGCTTACAATATTGCAGAAGGTCCTCTCATGTACACTTCGACTCCCCACCCATGCACATAGACTTAAAACACACTACAATGTTTTAAAAAATGTTTGTTTTGTAAAGCCAAAGTGGTTAAGCACAAATTTATTTATTAATGTATTCAAATTATCATTTTGAAAATGACAAGTTTTAGAATAAACTCACCGCAGAGGTGGAGATCTTCTCTTTGGTCCTGATCTAAATACAGGTCTAGATTTTGGAGGAGAAGAGGAGTAAGGTGATCTGGAACGTGATCGTGACTTAGAAAATGAATGTTGCCGGGGGCTATAACACACACACAAAAAAAAAAAAATAGAAAGCTCCAAAGCACTTACAGAAAATCAACAAAGGCTTAATTTTTTTCATATAAAGCATTCTAACAAAAACCAAGTTTGTATTCTCAATCCATAGGTAACATATAAAAAGCTAAACTATTCTACTGAAAATAACAGGAACACAAACATGATTTTATGGATTTTATTTGCAAGTTTAGAACAGTTACAGTGCCTTCTTACACTAGTTAGGATTGTTTTATTTTGTATTTAGTAATAAAATAAACACAAAAAACTTTACCTCCTTCTACCAGAACTATAGACAGAACTTTTGGAAGAACTACGAGAATAGCTGTAGGATGATGACCGTGAGGACCTATAAAATTCCAGATATAACACTTTATTAACAAACCATGCCAAGAAAATTTTAAGGAGAAGTAAAGATACTAAATGATTATAAATACTTTTCTGTAATGAATTTCATAAAATAAAAATCCCATGTAAAAATTTTTTGCAACATTTCATCACTCTCACTTAGGAGTTAATAGTATAGTCTGCGGATATCATTCAAAATGGATCAATCATATAATATAACAATGATCTGCTTACCTTGAAGAACGAGAACGTGATGACCCTGAGGAATAAGAACGACGAGATCTACCTCGAGAGTGGCTTCTCCTTCCTTTTGGTGATTTTGACCTAAGATTAAACGATCATTGTAGCTCATATTCATTGCACTTTTTTATACTTCTTAGTTTCAATGATTCATCAACTAAAACTAAGCCAAGAATTTTACACAGACCAGTCAACTAATAAACTTTAAAAGTTGCTTTGCACACAATAATACAAGTGATGGCCTGAAAACCAAACCAGTATTTTAGTAGAATAATCCTTGGGCCATAAAATACTGATCCTATTAAGTTTAAAAAGAATGTAACTAAAGTTGTTTCACTAAGCAATGCAGTAAGTGATAACAACATATAACAACTTGAAAATGATATCAGTGCAACTGGTTGGGTCATATTGCTAAACAATGTATGGTTACGAAATAAGTTCCGATACTTATCTTCAACTAGCCATCCAAGAAAAGAATGTACACAATATTATTTTTGTTTTTAAACAATTACTCTATACGTTTAGGTGAACATTGACAATCTTTAAGAAACTAAATAGAACTATGAACACACCTTCTCCACGGATCTCTCCACTCATCTCCTCTTGTTCTTGGTACAGAAGCTTCAACATGTCGATCATCTCTCCATCTCTCTCTTTCTGGGCTCATACGAATAGGCCTAAACAAAGTTATATATAATCATTAGTCTTGGGGAAGATAAATGAAATATACACTCCATTCTAATATAATAACTGGCATTTTAATGAACTGGGAAAATGCCACTAATTCTTTAAAGAAAGACATAACAAAATAGGCAAGTTTTACATATTAACGCATGATGAGAATGTTACTTAACTTGTTATAAGGAATATAATCGTTATGTATGATGCAAATAAATCATATTTTAATCAATGAAAATATGCAAAATAAAAACTCAATTTGGCACAACAGATTTTTTTAGGATTTGTTTTTAAACACTAATATCTAATAAATTCACATTTACAATATTTTTCTATTCAGACCCTATTATTTTTTGTCATGGTAAGATAAAATAGGTAATGGATAACTTGAAGTTTTTCTTTTTCTGCCATTCAGCAGGTATATTGGCTATTCAGAAGTTCTGCTTGGTACACTTGATACCAGTCTGGATAAATAATGCTACCGAAATATTTGAAGCTAAAAAAAATATTAATTGAGTTTGTACAACAACAACAACAAAAAAACTTTGGGTTCTTTTATGGTAGAGAGTTATTTCCCCAGCAATTATCTGATAATTTAGGACAAATATTCTTCTAGTATTGAAAAATTATAAAAGCTGCATGAAGTGCAAAAATAAATGAGGAAAGCAGTGTACATATTCCTCATGTTAGATGTGTGCATCATCAGTAACCTGAAACATTTTCACGACAAGAACAGTATTCTTAAACTTACTTCTCTCTCTCAAATGACCGTCTGTAGTTCTTGGACCTGTCTTTTTCTCTAGGATCCTAAAGAGAAAACAATTACTTCATAAAAAAAAATGTGGCAATAACAGTAAAACATCAGGGTCATAATGATGCCGGATTAGTTCAAGGGAAACTAAAATAATCCATTTTTTCTTTTAAGTTTCCTTTACCCCTTCTATGCTAGTACAGTACCCTTACACATCACTTACTACTTTGCTAGCTAAATACAGGATACTACTTTTTAAAATCTTAAATGGTTTACAGAACATGTCCAATGCTGTGGAAATAATTTGAAAAATGATTCTTTAAACTCCTACTTATTTTAAACATTTACACAGGTTAACAAGCACTTCTTGACTAGCCAACTTTGTGTAACACTAACTTAAAGACCATCTTCTTGTTATTACAAGTTTATTGAATGATAGTTCGTAAAAGGAGAATAAAAATTTAGTCATAGGACAATCAATTAAACCAACAAAATAAAATACTTTACCCAAAATAAGAATAACAGACTATTACTCCTATGTGCATGAGTAGTGATCAAAGTGCACATGCCATGACCTTTAACAGTGCCATTCAACATCATATTATGTATTTGATGTCAGTTATCAACTATTCATTTTACCCTACACTGCTGATTTAGTAACAGTTTGTGGAAGAGGAAAGTAAATATGATATAATAAACAGGGATACTGAAAAAAAAACTATAAATATGAATTTTGGATTTATCAGGGGTTTTACCAATGCAATAAGCAAACTGTACAATGGACAAAAGTATTTTTATCCTTCCAATGAACATCATCTTGCACTCTAACATATCTTTGGTACAAATACTTTTCTAACACATTTGACTGTTTGTGTACAACAGAATTGTACATTTTATTATGTTTGCCACATTTTGTGTAAATAAACTTAGTAAATTCAGAATTGTAGTAAACATTTATTATCAAATACAGGGTCGGTCCAATGAATCAACCCTGTGTACATTCAATTAATTGGAATTGACAAATCATGTGCACATGATTAGCCAGTACATGTACTTAAAATTAGCATTTTTTAATTATATTAAAATTCGGATTCCCAAAATCATAAAAACTTAATACACTCAGTGCACACACATACAAAAAGAAAAAAGAAAACCCAAGATAATCCAAAAGGATTAGGCTTACAGAAACCAAACAGACTTGACCCTTTTTGTAGTGGACCAAATCAACAAATGCATTTTTGGAGGATACATAAAACTACTACTGAATCAAGCTTTTAGTAAGTAATACAATTCAGTGTAAACAAAAAATCAGATTCTTTTAAAAGGTATTTTAACTGTTACTTTCTCTATCCTAACACTAAGTGTTTGTTTTGAATTTCGCGCAAAGCTACACGAGGGCTATCTGCGCTAGCCGTCCCTAATTTAGCAATGTAAGACTAGAGGGAAGGCAGCTAGTCATCACCACCTACCATCAACTCTTGAGCTACTCTTTTACCACCGAATAGTGGGATTGACCGTAATATTATAACACCCCCATGGCTGAAAGGGCGAGCATGTTTGGTCGGATGGGAATTCGAACCCGCGACCCGCAGATTGCGAGTCGAGCTCCCTAACCACCTGACCATGCCAGGCCAACACTAAGTGTACAGAAATCAGTAACATAGGGTAAAATAAAGTAGAAAAAATATGGGATAAATCTAAAATACTCCTCTTCTTGTTTTTTCTTTCTAGAATGACTATTTATTATAACAGACAATTAAACAATATTTATTCTTATAGCCAAAGCTGATACTTTTCAAACCTAGGTTCATTTAGTATTATTGCTTTACAGCTGCAATTGGACAGTCTCACAATATGCCAGAAGTAAGTTATCACAGCTAGACAGCTTAATATAAACAAACAAAAAGCTTTACAAGTATGCTATGGTCGAATTACAATCACGCCTCATGACATGCTCACGCTATGATAGTATCATGAAAAATTTTTTTTATTTTTTTTCATTTAAGTTTTCTTACCTTATAAGTTTCTGATTTTTACATTTTAGTTACTTTCATAACAATAAATAAAAAGCATACATGCAAAAGAAGTTATTTTAGTAATTACATCTGGACTTGTCTTTTTCCCACCATTGGCAGACAGAACACTGCAGACCTACTTTTTTTGTAACAATGTGATACTCCAAAATATTATTAACTCTTACTAAAATGTGCAATCTAAAACACACACAATCATCACTCACAGAAAAATAATGTCATAAAACTACTGTCATTTAACTGGCTGTCTAATTAAACTATGAATAGGTTAAAAACAGCTGCTCAAGCCAAACACCACAAAGACAAATATGAAAACTGAGATCAAATACTTCCAAACCTGGCACCCAAACAAACTAGCCTTGTAATAAATTTTGTAAGGCAGAATCTTCTCTTTCTATTTATTATAAATAATTCAACAGAAAATGTAACAGAAAATGAATGAAATTTCTTTCATGTAAGAATGACATACAAGGAGTGAGGGATGTGGGTTTGATTTTTTTCTTTACATCTCACTAAAGCAAAAAGTTATAATTTACATTATGGCTTAGCAATATCTATAGTTTAAGAGTGTAATTAGTGGCAAGTTAAAATATCATATACGAGCAGAAAGAAAATCTAAAATGAGCAATTCAGAGTGTATTCACTAATTTTATTATAGTTTTATCAGAATATTTGGCTAATGAAAACAACTTCAAACTGATTCATCAAAAAATACTACTGCTAGCTAGGGAAATTAGTAACAAAGGCACTGGTAACTGTAAATAAATTATTCATTTGTGTGTGTATGAATGAGTATGGAATTGTATTTTAATTGTGACATGAATCACTATTTATACTTCTATATAGTGATTATTTAAGTAATTTTTATGTGGCAACAACACGAGTGTTTGCTGATCAGTTATTCATCAAATCCATTAATCAATTGGTACAATATTCCTCCAACCATGATATGTAAGCAAGCAAGCTAAAAAAAAAAGGTTGAGAGTGGGTGCTGTAGCCAGATGCTTTCTACCTAGTCAGCAGTTAAACATTAGTGACCATTTCACACCCCAGTAGCTTTGCCATAACAAATACCAGACAAATAAGTTTGTTAGCAACATCTTGATTACTTGGATATTTGTTGGAATAATTGAGAATAGTAACAACTAGAAACCCCAATTTCAATTACTTGATTACCTTTGTGACAAAGATATAGGAATTTAGAATGATTGTTGGAATAATCAAAAACAGTAATAATCACAAAAGTTAATATTGATTCAATCATAATTTCTATTGATTGATTATGTTAGATGAAACTAATCAATGTAATCACTGCTCATAGGTAATCAATTACATTAATTAATTCACCCAACTGTAAATATGATTAGAAAAATTTCAGATATTTTCCAGAACCTATATAATAATTTTCAATATTTGACAAAAAATATCTTAATTTTTAAACTTCATACTTGAGGTAAAAATATAAAAAAACACATTAAGGTTAAGTATTTAGCATTTGTTCATATTTTTGAAAGAAATGCTGCTATTGAGAAACTGCTTTTTGTTAGTAAATAAGTTTGCAAATTTTCTAACCCAGCATAAAACTCCCAAGCCTTTAAAGTCTCAAAAGTTCATTTTTCTTTTTACGGCTTCCCCACCCTGGACAGATGCTGAGAGATTTATCAGTGAAATATCCACATCACTGGAACATGAAATTCAAGACTAAAAATAGTGGTAGGAAATGTTTCTTGATCCCTTGTTTTAGAGGAAAAAAAGAGTAAGAAAAAGTAATACTAATAAATAAATAAACAAATCATATGAAAGTAGTTTCAGAAAATATAGCAATACTTAAAAATTATAATAAGACAAAATTACATGAGTGGGATGGAAGCATGTCTTGATAATTTATAAAATTAATATGATTTTCAACATGCCTATGAACACAACACCAAATATTACAAGAAGTCCTTACAGTCAAGAGAATGGCACACCAGTTTTTTTTAACAAGACCTAGAATCACACCCTGGCCCATACAACATAAAAATTCCTTCTCAGGACTTCCCCGAGGATGATAGCAGGTATACAGTTGAAACACAGGCTATAACCTAATTAATAACTGGTAGCTAGTAATAAAAAACAAGTAACTAAATAATAATTAGGCTTAGATGATCATAAAGGTCATTAAGCATGACAACTAAGTCTTTACATGTTAAAAGGGCATTAATTTTTTTTTTTACTTACCCTATATTCAAACTCTGGCCTTGACCAACGCACTTCAAAATTTTCATAACGTCCTCGCCAAAAGTCTCGTGCTTCTCTTTCCATTAGTTCAAAATTTTCTGGGCCATTGCCATATCCTCTGAATATCACAACAAAGATAAATTACTAATTTAATAACATAATATTAATTTTTTCATATATTTGAGAGTTAGTCTCACCATTTTTAATAGAAAATATGTTTGACTCAAAACACACATCCCATTTTCAATATCTGTTCTTTTAAGTCAATGAAAAACAGTAAGATAAACTACATATTATCACAGTTTTATTTTTCTTTAATTCTGCAATGTAGCTCATGGAAACAAAATAGTTAATACATTTCAAAGTATCATTTTTAAATTTAAGCAATAATACACATAAAAAGCATACCCATAATACACCATTTCACCTCCATGCTTTCTAGGAGGACTTCTTCCATAAACATCATTTTCTTTGTCATAGTCTGGAAATCTATCATTTACATCAAGTGAGAGATTCAACCTCTTCTCCTCAAAATCTGGTTCCTGTTCTTTCCTGCGATTAGCTTTCTTCATCAACTGGAGAATGGTAAAATATACAAATAAAAACTATTGACTAACCTTCAACAAAATATTTTTTTAAACCAAATTCTGTAGGAATCCATTTTGCACTATCTAAAAACCTTTTTCTACAACGCTCTGAAAGATTCAAGTTACTTAAGCTTCACCATCCACACATCAGATGGATTAATTCACAAATGATAAACATATAAGCATGGTTTGGGCTTTTTTCCAATGTAACAAAACCTCCCGGGAAATAAAGAGTCAAAAATTAGTTGAATAAAGATATAAAATTGCCAACTAAACATTGATTGTACTCTTTGGAAATAAATTAAATATAAAAAACATCAAAATTCTTGTAATTGGGTCTTTTTTAGGATCTTTCTACACTAATATTGTCATAATTGGATCTTTCTTGAGGGTCTACGTTTTCTTTTTCAGTCAAGTTGTCCGAAGGACAACCTGGAAACTTCCTTAAAATCGAGCCCTGCTAATCTCCCATTTCTATAGTCTTAGGAATTGAGACCTCAAAGATTAGCAGTCTGATCTGCAGTTTACCATTCTTATGTCTAATGATAAGTAGTAGCATAAATAGAACAGGACCACAGTAATAATCTTTTTAGAATTCACAGTAGTAACCTCTTACAAATATTGATGTTATTCTGCCTTTTTATTGGACACTCATTCTGAATCACATCTTTTCTGGTCATTTTTTTTAAAGACTATTGTCTTTATAGTCTGGTCCAGATTATTTCATATACTTTGTTTTGAACAAAAATATATTGCTGCATTCCAACTGTTAAGAAACTCAACTATTAGATTCTGTTTCCCCAAAAAAGTCTGTAAAGTCACCCTGCAATACTATAAAAATTTTCCAGTCTCAAACTTCCAGCAGCTATGTATTTCAAAACCAGATGAGGGCAAGTGTAAGTTTTTATCTGGATCATTATCCAGATGCTCTCTCTTTTCTATAAGGTTTAGAACTTCTGAAATGATACCAGTTTTGCATTTAATGCACTAACTGTAGCCATACCTTGCTACATATATTTAAGAAGCTGAACTGAAGAATTCTTGTAGCATGCATACACATACACACACAAAAATATACATCATAAACTTTTGAATAATGGCCACAGTAGTTTACCGACTGTACTGAAGGAGTCAAATATTATAGTCAACAGGGTTCAAAAACTGAAGACCACATAAGTAATTTCTTTTATTTCTATAAAGTACATAACGTTTGAAAATGAGGATAAGAATTTACATTATAAACTAAAAATACTCTTCTCAAAATACAAATGTAGTACTATCGAACTAAAAGAATAAAATTTCCTAAGAGATAGTTTTGCATACTTACTTCTTTGGCATGTCGCAAACCCCTTTCCCATGCAGATTCCACTGGAGGAAGCTCTTCCATAAAAGGTGGTGGCAGTGGTGGTGGTGGAAGAGGAGGTAGTTCTGGACCACCAGGCTAAAATTAATAGTCAAATTCATTCTATTAAACACAGATTATGAATTACTCAATATTGTCATTTTCATAATATGAGCCTCTAAAAACTGTTAATGGTCAGAAAAATATATTAAAATATATAAGACTTGCTTTGCTCACAGAATAGGTCCCTGCGGGATGATAAAAAAAAAGAATCAACAAAGTAAAAAATTAATAAATCATTAGAAAAAGAATTGTCACTTAAAACATTATCTTAGAAAACAAACTGTATCTTACAAACTTTTTGTTGTGTTTCATGTAGCAAATTTTACTAAGAAATTCTGTACTACAGTCCATTATAAAGGTATAATGCCGATATGTTGGAGAAAAAAGTATTTTGTCATAATTTTATTTGAACCTTCATTTTGCACTATGAAAACAATCAAACAAAAACAATATATTTGTTCCCTTAGTTACTTGTTTTAAGTTTAGGAATTCACTAGCCCTACCCCCTATACTACCAAATTTTGAGCTTAAGCTACAATTAATTCCAAACATACTAGCCCAAGGTTAGTGCAGTTCTGTTTCATGAAATGTGTACAGGTCCACAAAATGGAACTCTATATTTAGTTCCTAAAACTAAAAAATGCTCTCCAATATTTTTTCTTTCAAATCATGAAAGATCTACTGTCACCAGTCCTTACAATTAGGACATCAACTCTACAACAAAAACAGTCACAATAAATGTATTAACTAAAACAACATCATGGTAAATGTCACCATCTATTCTGAAGGACTTCTTCCACTTAAAGATGTACTTAATACATGAGTGGGGTACAAGGCAGGAATCCTCAAGTATGAAAAACAAAAATCTATATTAGCCTTTTATACTGATTAAATATTTTTAACTTTCCAAGTTAAAACATTCTGCCCATATGATATTCAACTTTCACAGAAAGTAAATATCAAATGATATTTATAATAAAAAAGCTGTGTTATTTAATGCCAACAAAGACCCCTAATAAATTTTTTCAAACTTTGATATTCTTTGTTCTTCAAATAACATTTTTTCTGTTTGCTCTGTATGAAGAAGTCTCTAAAGTATGCCAAGCTATTTCAAATGTGGAGTAATAAACTTCAATCTACACTCAGATATTAAAACACGCAATAATCCAACATGAAACTACACATGGTTTGACAGAGTGCATATTAGTTCTGGATTTGAATTACTTTTGGACTAAAACAAATGCTTTATTCATAAACTAATTCAGTATAAAACCTACTAAACATGAAATTACCATTATTTTCACCAGTCCACACAAAATATCAATTCACACATTTGAACTTAGAAGTTAAAACTAGATTTATAATGTTACCCACCTATACCAATGTGTGTCATCAGTAATCTAGGTTACTGATGATGGAATTATGGTTATTCCGAAACATCTAATAAATGCTTCCTGTTATTACGTTCGTGTTTTGTTAGATTTTCGTTACTTTTAGTTTTGTAGTGAATAGTACACAATACTAATTCATTTTGAATATAACAGTCTTCATAAATAATGGGGCGCTACATACATGGTGCAGACTGTCAACACACTGCTTTGAATATGCTTTCAAAAACTGACAGACCTGCAGTATGCCTTGCACTATTTATTGTATGTTAAACAATTAGAAAACTGGACAAAATCATTCAGCTGTATGTTTTTCTTTTAGAATTACATGAAGCAGTAGACAAGAATGGCAGCCACACTAAACACTGTTAATGCAAGATTCACAATCAGTACCACCTGACATTTACCATTTGGATTAGTTATTTACTAACTTTATAAGTTTAGAGATTTGTTTGTTTTAACTTATGGATATTAGACAATGCCAACTAATTTTATAATATTCTCAAAGCAAAGAAAAAATCAAGTTATAATTGCACACTTTGTAAGAAGTACCTAAACCTTTTCATGGTAGGAAAATATAAACTTAATGTACTTATTTAATATAAGATTCAAGTAACAAACAAAATAATGTACATTTCCAAATAAGCATTTTTACTTAAACATGCAGAACTTACCCCTGGCATCATACCCATTCGAGGTGGTCCTATAGGTCCAGGTCCAAGTCCAGGACCAGGACCCATCATTGGTGGAGGGGGAGGGCCACCACCTGCCATCATTATATTACCAGGACCCAATGGAACAGGTTTTGGACCCGCAAACATGTTGTAATTTCCCTTGTCATTAATCCCTGGATGAATGAACCTACATGATGTTCCCCAAGTACACTGGCCTTTATTAAAGAACCTACACACTGGACGAGGCTGAGCTTTTCTGCCTCCACTACCTTCTTTCACTTCACCTTCTTCCAAGTCATCATCCTATATGAAATTATATTATAATTATAGGTGGGTACAGTAACTTGTAATTTTAAAGCTGAAACAGATGATTGTTCATAACTGATCCTCATATTTTGAATTAGGTGAAATCTTTTTATAACAATGTTTTCCAGATTATCAGTCTGCTGATGACCTTAAAAATGTTCACAATAAATTCACAATATCATTAGTAAATACTATTTAGCAATCAACATTCATATTCAACTGTAAGTACAACTTGTATTCAAAAATTAAAACTTTGCTTCAAAGAACTTACATCTGAAACCTCTCCATCATCATCATCTGCTTCACCTTCTTCACTCTTCTCTCCCTATAAAGCATTACACTATTTTAAATCTAAATCATCAAATTAAAATCCAAAAATAACAATTTTATTACTTGAATTCAGCATTACTTACTACTAAATGATCCACATTTAGGAACTATCACTGCTGTTATGTTGATAGTTGAATAATAGTAATTTCCAATCAAATTAAGCTATACTTAGAATGAAACGAAAAATCAACCTGGCTATCACTATAGCTAATTAAATATACTTTTCTTAATTTTCTACTTATAAAGATCAGAATGCCTTATTTCACCATTTGAGTATCCTCAATGTTAACAGTATTTTTGGCTGTAACCCCAATAATATTTCATGAGGTTTGGCCAACTTAGGAGATTTCGGTTAATCCAAAAGAATGAAAAACATTTTTTATAATAAAAGTATAATAATAAAAAATAATAATAATAATAATGACATTAGATATATTAACTGTTATAATCAATATTGTTAATAAAAGCAACAATAAATAAACAATATAGTATACCATAATTAGGGAATACTCAAACACTTGTCTAGAACCAGTCAAAAAGTACATCTTGCCCTATCCCTAGTATGTCACTTTACTAAAGAAAACTTATTCCCTATTATATAACATCAGAATAGTCCCATCTGAGGCAATTCAAAACATATGTTTCAGTTTAACCCTTTCGAGATGGGTCACAGGAGAAAGGCCATGTCATCTCATTTGTTGACTCGCATTCAAAATTTTATTGAACCACTATTTCATGAATTTATGTCAATAACTTTGGTATCAAACTGTAGATTATAATTCAAATTTTAGTACTATATATTACTAAATTTCTTAATTTAAAAGCAAATATTAAAAAAACACAGATAAACATTGGTTTTTCTATGTCACGTGGTATGTTGAATGCAACACTGGTTCAAATTAGATGTATGTGAAGTCAAAACACCAAGTCTATAGTTTTGAAAGAATTAGGAACTCAAATTACCTATATTAACAAACTAGTATATAAAATAAGAGCCTCTTATCTTTTCAATTTGTTAAGATGTTGCTCATGTAATAAATGAAACACAGTGGCATCTCACCTACCTCCTTCCCCTTATATAAACTTACTTCTATATATAACATGAATAACCTATTGGAAGCTCAGAATGTCCCCCTAGTGGGTTTCTCAGGCATTTTAACGAACTTAGTGCCATTTCTTTCTTTTGAACCAATATTTTAATGAGGTAGGGTCGTGTCTCTAGTTTGCTTGAAATTTCATACTTTTTAGACTAAAATACATCTTAGTTACTAAGCTTGATAAATTATAGTGGAATTCTATGGTATTGATGGAGTAATTTATGATTTTTTAGTTATTCAAAAGCATATATAAAACCTCAAAAAAATATTTTGTTTCACATCTTCCATGTGCAATTTTTTTAAAGGCTTAGCAACCAAGAACAAAGGTTGTAACTAGAAGAGATAATTGTTTGTTGTAGTTCTTTAGTTACTGTTCTATTTTTTTAGAAAAATAAGTTTAAGAACTCATTTAAAAATAGCAATGATCTATATACATATATAATGTATAATAATTGAAATTTGACTGTATTTTACAAAATACTAGTCTACTAAAACACAGTCAAGACAAGTTACTTTGTACAGACAAAAGGTCAGTTTTATGTTATTTGATACAGTAACACGAGTGCATGTTAGGCCGCATCATTGTAACTTCTGTATTGTTAGCCAGGCACAGCTGAAAGGTCATTATAATAAAAATAATAAGTATATATAAATGTAAAATGTTAAGAGATTTAAGCTATTTAGTCTAAACATTTATGTTTTAGTGTTATAATCTGTGTTCATTCTAGAATAAAAGAGGCATAATTTATGTTTATTTCCTAATTTTCTATGGTGGTTGCAAGATCAGTCAAATCTACCGAACCCATACAGAGATTAATTATTGAAAATAACAGATAAAATATAAAGTTTAATCTTAAGAAATGTTTGGTAACTATCTGGACACCATAAAGATTTTGCATGTGAAATTTCAAAATTTTCTGATGCATAAAAGTATTTTTAATCTTAAAATGAATATTACTTTGCACGATAGATAGGCAACATGTGAAAAGAGAAAAAAAAAAAAAAAAAGACATGAGAAAAACATTGCTTTATAAACCTTAAGACTTAATAAATAAATTTGATATTTTGCATATGAAAACATTGTTATGTTTACTGATAATCTGCTACATTTTGTTAACATTCGCTTACTAATTTAAAAGTTATAGCATGAAAACTATAACAAGCACAAACTGGTTATGAGGTCAGTCCCAGGGACCAAGCCCGTTCTGAAAGAGTTAAACTATGTAGAGTCAGTAGCATCAATTTTCTCATGCTACAACTAAAAATCAGTGTTTATGAGAATACAAAACAAATAACATATCTGACATGGCCATTATAATCTAACAAAGTTAAATGTATTAATTTAAAAAAAGCAAAAAACAATTGGCTTAACTTAATGTGCATAAAAACTTTTATTACCAGTCGTTTTTTAACTATCCAATTCGATGTGTTTGTATTGTTATAGAACTTTTGTCTTTCTAGAGGTTTAAAGTGTTTCCTTTTCAGTTTGTAAAGAAGACTGAACACTATTTATTACTTCCTGTAGCCAGGTGTAAGTGATTGTTATATGTAAAGATATACAAGGCATTAATATCACAAAGAAAGTAATTATAAAACTAATCTAAATAAATTTATGATGTAGTGCCAAACTATACACAGAACTGTTATACAGCTTACATTAATTGCATATAATAATAACTAACTTGAACTAACAGTCGGTACAATCAATGGTAGTCAATATATTAAAGCTGTTTACCATTACCCTAAACAACATCCCAAGGAATCAAAGTGTTGACATGAAAGTTTTCAAATGGTTGTGGTACTATGTAAAAACTTCTAGATCCATAATCTTTGGCTAGAATATTTTTGAATTTTCCACAGAATAACACAACATTAGCTATTTTATTCTTTAACAATATTTGTGTTATTTATTTGTTCTTTTTTTTATTATAATTTTTTTATGAATTAATTAAGATGGGTCAATCAGCAAGCTAGTCTGCTTGTTCTAGGAGGAGGTTATGCAACTGAAGCATCAACAGATGTAGTAGTGGTCTAGGCACTGTGTATCATCAATTAGTAATTAGTAATTCCAAGAAGCCACTAGTGAAAGCAAAGGAGAACATATTATATGTCAACCATACCATGTTATTTCTGCTATATCCAGTGCCAATGAAGCCTTTCACCCAACACCAGGGCTTACCAGGCTGGTTGGGATACAACAGATGTAGTAGTGGTCTAGGCACTATGTATCATCAATTCTTCTAAACAACTGTTAAAATAGAAATTATGTAAACTCCAGATTTTTTTCCATATTCCTCTTCATTTGTCCATGATTAACATGACTTTTAGGCCTATTAGCTTCTAATGCTTTGCTAGCTTTTGGCAATTAAACCTTCACTTTTAATAATAACCTTTTAGTACATGGATCTCAAACGAGACCCAAAACTCTGGCACTTTTTTAGTATACAGGTGACCATCAGCAGAGGGGTACTGTAAACTTTGTTGATCCACATGCTTGAGGCCTAGATATATTAGTTTCCAGCCTAATCAAGTATCTTTTAACTTTTGTGAAGATGTTAGAAATACACTTGTGTACTTGAAACAAGTTTTGATATTCGAAAACATAGAAAACATGACACAGAAGATGTATAGATATAAATATTTATTAACATTTATTACATGAAATATTTAATTATGACATAGTTACAATTAATTTTAAAGAATAATTTTATTGCTAGTACCAATCCTGAATTTGCTATTAGGAAAAAATTAGAAACTGTTTTCTAGTGCCTTCAAAAGTTAAGAACAAGGCCTATCAACTATTAAAACATTATAAATAATCTGAATAGAAGTGATATAAATCTACATTTGGAAACTGTTAACATCAAATTTTGAAGAGTAAAATGACTTAAGCCCTAAAGAAATTTATTAGATTTTTAAATACTTGAGTAAGAAGTTCAAGAACTATACATTAAACATATCTGATAACCATAATCATCCCAAAAGATAAAAAAAAAAGACTTGTATATTGGAAAACCTCAAGAAGGGATTCTAACTTCAGATTTTAGTAATCACCAGCCTAATACATAGAAAACTGTGGATAAATATATAACTAGAGCTTCTGTTTTGCCTGTGTTTATTTTTAACTGTTTTATAGTAATATACCATATATTCTCTACACACTAATTTCACTTATGGGAGTAATAACAGACATAAAACAGTTCTATTTATGTTAAAAATTTATAAGAGCAGCTAATATTTTATATGAAATTATAAAAATAAACTTATCACTAACAGATGAAGCACAGGAAAGGGGTGACATTAATGTAAACTGAATAACCATTTCCAGTGTTTTTCAGTTAAAATGGGAAAATCAGAAACCCTACATAAAATACAACCTGGCAGTGAAAGCTGAAGAGTTTCAAACATACTTTTGCAAGGAAAAGAATTATAAACAAAAATTCAACAAACATACATACACAGTTCCATTAGGTGACTTTCTCCTGCTATTAAACCTCATTGAGCTGCTGAGAACTGAAAGTGTCCATATCTGTAGTTTCTAACTTTCCACACAATGGTTTTGTTTTTCAAGTTAATATATTTATTATTACGATATGTATCTTTATCAGTTACATCTTGGGAGTTTCAAATCAACTTGAAACAGTCTGCACAACTGTTGGAGGCTGCTTTATCCTTTATGGCAAATAATTTGTTAAATGAGAATATTCTGAAAATTATATGATCCAGGTTCACACACAAAATTTGTTATGCAAACTATTACAGCATATACAAGGGCAATCAGAGATTGCATACACTCGCCACTCCTTTTCAAGATTGCATGCATTTATATTGGATAACGTCAAATTTCAGAAAATCCTGTTCAGATCCAAAATGATCCACAATCCGGATCCCTTTTGGTAGCATGATGAGGAGTCTCACCCTTAATGTGCCCATTAAATTTGGTACAAATCAGATCACATTTAACAGTTATTAACCCAAAACCTTGAAAATGCTCATTCTCCCCCATTAAAAAAATGCTCCAAAATCTGAAACAGGACCAAATGAGGGGAGGACTGTTCCATACTGACTTCTCATCTTATGTAAAATTTTTGTGCACATTGGTCTATTAGTTTAAGATATACATACACAGAAACACACACAGACCTGGTTGCAATACCTTCGCCCTCCCTCTGGGGCAAGGGTAATAAATAGAAATATTTTCAGGAGGGTAACAAAACTAAGTTCTTGAAAACGGATGTTAAGTGACCAATTTTGAACTCAGTGAGTATTTACAGTGTTATTCAACAAAATTTTACTTTCGACTTAGTTTTCCATGGTAATAAAAATACTGTCAAAACCAAGTGCAAATTGTTTATAACTACTCATAAAACTAATATTAAGCTTGTTTGTTAATGCACTTAATCCCTAATTTCACTATAGCAACACTTAAAAGTATATTTATTTAATATAATAATAATAACTCAAAATAATTACCGAAGCAAAGAAAGGCAAAAAAGTTTTACAATAAATGCAAAACACAAATAAATAAATAAAGAATGGCTAAAATTATTAAAAATAAGAACAGCTCAACTGTCAATAGTTAACCGTTATTATTGCGGGGGAGGTCAATAAGAACTCGTGCAATTTTATTAATAACTCATTTTTGTATTTGTAATAATATTGAAATTTTCTATACTCTTAACAGTAGTTAAGGGTTAATTTCTATTAAATATTATATAATGATATGTACATAAATGTGATCAAAATTTCAAAGCTATTAATCTGCAAATTATTAATAAGTTCACTAGATAAACGGCAACATCGCTATGCATTACTTTTGGTTACTTATTTTGGATTAATTCTGTTTATTTTTACTTTGACTCTTAATTTTTTTGGGTGAGTGCTACCATGTCTATATAGTCTATTAAATACTTAAATAAAAACTTCAATTACTGTGATATTTTGCTGAGACAAGAAGGATTTAGCTTTTTCTTTTTGCATTGCATTTGTTAATTTGAAAGATGCTTTCATAATTTTCTTGGCCACATTAAGTTTATCACCACAACAAATTTAGTTTTTACACTCTTTAACTAAAAAAAATCATAACAAAAACAGCAAAACTGTCATTTTAAAGAACGTTTCTTGATTCAATCAATATCTATATATATTCAAAATTAGATTTCAAATGTGGCCTGCTTTTCAAGATTTTATAATTTGTGAACAGAAAAAAATACAGCATAATACAAAACTGAAAGCTCCAAGCTCTCCCCTATGAACTCGCAAGCTATATCACTAATTTCATTAATTTTTCTCCTCCAGCAAGTTTTCTTTTTATTGTTGTAAATTAACAAAATACAGTTGAATACTTTTTTTCTGTAACTTTGTTTTAGAGTTCATACTTACAGTTTCTTTTGTTTCTTTTTTTTCAACTTCAATTTCTTTATTGATTACTTCATCTACTTCTTGTTCATCTTCATGCACCTCTTCTTCAAAGTCTAATTCTCCATCAGGAGCATGTACATGTACATCTGATAAATTAGCCTTATTATTTTCATCTTTTCTTGTTCTTGATTTGATTTTTACAATACTTTCATCTAAATCCTTTGTTTCTTTAGCATAATTTAGAACACTCTCATCATTTTCATTCTGAGATGAATTCTCAGAGAAAGAATTTTCACAATCTTTAATATTCTCAAGAGTTTCATTGTCAACTGTTGTACTAATTTCTTCCACAGACTTATAGTCTTTAGAATTACGTTTCTGAATAAATTTATCTTTGGTGTTTTCTTGTGAACTCTCAAACTTAAAAGGTATACTTCTTTGTTTTCTGTTTCGTCTTTCACGAGATGTGTCAGAACCATCAGATTCTTCACTTTCATCACTTCTTGACTGTTTGTTGTCATCATCCCCACTTGAGGATGCTTCACCTCCTGAATCAGACTCAGAATTGCTTTCTTCATCACTCACATCTTCCATTCCATCCACACTACCCTTTTCACTAGAAGGTTTTTCATCAATGCTATCTACTTCATTATTTCTTTCATCATCCTGATCCATAACTGATATTAAAGATACTGACCTGAAAATCCATAAAACACAAACTTCAGAAATAAAAGCCCTCTTTAACAGAATTCACCAATTTAACTCATATATATATAATTATACACATTAATACTTTATACTAATCCAACACTATTGATCCTTCATAAAAAACTGTACACAATGCAGTTCAGTAAATGATAATGCATGTTTACACTTTTTAGTAGAACAAAAAAGCCCTATTAGTAAGAATTTTGAACATCATATTAATATATTAGTAGTTACATTGTATCACAACCAAAATTTAGTCTGATTAGAAAGTATACAATTTGTAATTTAGCTAAATTTAAAAACACTGAGCCAGTCATAACAAAACAAAAATATGAACAAGTCTGAACATTCCAAATTAAATAGAAATTATAAGTCCTATCATCACAGTTCTACATTGCTTAAACATAAATGCAGATTACATAAATTTCAAATGCAAACATAATCATCAAACCTACCTAATCACCAAAATCAGTTCTTTTACATTTAAACCCTACAATATATACTAGTTACAGAGAATAAGTTTATGACCTAAATTGAAACTGAATAATAGGAATTATTTCAAGATATTTAGTCAGAATATACAAAGGATGCCCCACTAAACACTTGTAAATCAAATAAAGCATATATATTATTACTTTTACTGACAATCTATGTGTAATATTGTCAATTTTTTTTATAAAAAATCACATACTGCTGTAATGTTGTTCCTTCATTTGAGTTTTTTTAAATTATCTGGTGAAAACAATTCAACGTCTAGTCCACATATATGATAACAAATCAATTTATTTCTTCCTTACCATTCTTTTACAAGCATAATCACTGGAATCTGAGGATCACATTTACAAATAGCACTAACTGCATTACACTAACAAAGAATGAACTTGTACTATTTCATGGTTAAAATTAAATTATACTGAATGATTCCCTCTACCATTTTTAGATAACTTTTGCAAACTTAGTATTTATAATCTAGCTTTAAATTTACTAGAAAACTGACATCAAATCTTTAGATCTTTCTAGGCCTCCATTAAACCTTTCAGTCTTAGAGTTATATGACCAACATCTCCCTTTATCTAACAAACAAATTATAACATTAAAAATATAGCTGATAACTATATATATTTATATATATATAGATATCAGCTATATTTTTTCAAATAATTACATCAAAAGGAAGGATAGCATGAAATTTACACAGCATATCCAAACCTGATATGAAATACAATTATATTTAATTTTGTAGAGAAGGGAAAAATAAATAAGTTAATAAATAATTGAAAAAACATACTTGAAAAACAAAAATGCAGACACAAAACAATTACTTAACACTGGACACAAATCTTAGGGTGGGTCATTATATAATGTGGCTTGGTAGCTGAGGTACCAATAAAAGTAAAAACTTAAATTGCATTGGGGGTACATAATCTATCTAATTTAACCTCAATTTTGCCAGCCTCACATGCTTAAAAAAAAAGGATAAAATGAGCAGATGCAGGTACTTAAACACCACAGTATGCCACATCTTTACCACCTTTTGCTGTCTGCAGCTAGAAGTGGGAGGGTGGTTTCTCACAAAAATAATAATCAAAATAAAGAAAGGTAAGAAAGATAACAATAATTATAGTACTATACCTCAATAGGGAAAACAGCTAAACTGTCCTGAAAGTTGGCATTCCAGCCCCCAGTATGATATTTGGACATAAATACCAAGAAGTTAAAGTATTACTATACTAAGCCCAACCTTCTGTTATAAGTATAGCTACCATCCTACACTAATAGCAAAAAACCAAAGCACATTACATAAGGACCCACCTATGATTTGTGTCCCAGTGTTGGATATTTGATTTGTGGCTTCATTTTTCATATTTTTTCAAGTGCATTTTTAACTTATTTATTTACTTATTTTTACCCTTCTATACAATTTAAATACACACACACACATATATATACAGTAACATATACAATTATTGTATAGTAATGAGTAATGAAAATTATAAGATGTTCCAAATGTGTGCTGACCCCCTAGTACATTTATGAGCAAAATATCAAATCTTGTAAAACAAGTGATGATCTAGTCTTTTTCTATCTAAAACAAAGGCCTGACAGTTTAACTCAGATTGTAGAATTAGAAAGTGGCATTTACAAATATTATTGGATTATTAAAATACTGTACTGTTAGCATAAAGCTTCTATAACTTCAAGTGACTACAGAATAAAACATAAAAAAGGTTAATTTTATACCTTTAATTTGTTTAAATGTCATTTCAATGTGCACTGATAGAATAGCTAATAAAGCATTCTCAAAAGTTTCTGTTCAGACCACATTTAATACTGATCTAAGTTGTTTTATATGTTACCACACTTGATCTAAAATTCTCTTAGTATATTTAATATAATCATTTTATTTCACACTCTGATTACTTTTATTAATGATATACGAGTTGACAGGTTATTAACAAATAAGTCTGACGGAAACAAAACTTAATAAGGTCTAAAAACATTTCAAAATGTTAAACAACAGTGCAGTTCCAAATTAACTTTAATTTACAATCACAAAATTCACTGTTCTAATTTGAAGACTTGTCACTTTGTTATACAGGACTTTCTTCATTAATCCTCAAATTATTGAATTTGTTTTTATACCATAGGGTCCAAATATTGTATTATGTTGAGTAATTTCCTGATTTAGACATGTTTAATGCTATGGATTTGGTGTACTTAGATTTTCATTAGGCTTTTAATAAGGCACTGCACAGAAGACTGGCTATAACAGGCACATCAGAATTCTGTTGGGAAAATAGTTTATAGGATTGTAGAGTAGTTGGATGAGAGAAAGCAAAAAGTTAGTATTAATGAACAATAGTTATATTGGACCTTTGTTACTAATTGTATATCTTAGAGATAGTGCTTAGGTCTTTACTTTGTCTTATTTACATTAATGATATTGATAGGGGCATAAAGTCTACTGATGACATTAAATGATAAGAGTATTTCTAAATGAACTGATGATGTTTAGATACTAAAGAATGACTTGGATTGGAAAGCTGGGCAAATACCTGGCAAATGACTTTTAAATACAGTAAATGCAAGTTAACCTTTTCCAGATGGTGCATGGGTGAAAGGCCATGTCATTGCATTTGTTGACTAGCACTCAAAACTTTATTGAACTACTATTTCATGAATTTATGTCAATAACTTTGGTATCAAACTGTAGATTATAATTTAAGTTTTAGTATTATACCTTACTCAATTTCTTAATTGAAAAGTAAATATACAAAAACACAGATAAACATCGATTTGTGTGTCACATGATATGTTGAATGCAGCACTGGTTCAAATGAGATGTTTGTGATGTTAAAATACTAAGTCTATAGTTTTGTATGAATTAGGAACTCAAATTAACATTATTAACAAGCTAGTATATAAAATAAGAGCCTCTTATCTTTTCAATTTGCTAAGATATTGCTCATGTAATAAATCAAACAGTGACACTCCACCCACCTCTTTCCATTTTTAAAAACGCTCCCTACAATGCACTTCTATACATGACATGAATAACCAATCAAAAGCCCAGAATGTGGCCCTAGTGGCTCTGTCAGCCATTTTAATGTGTTTGGATACCATCTCCTTCTTTCAAACTAAGATTTCAAGGCGGTAGGTTGTGTCTTTAGTCTGCTCAAAATTTTAGTTTTTTAGACTGAAATAAAGCCTAGTTACTAAGCTTGATAAATTATAGTGTAATGCTATGGTATTGATATAGCAATTTCTGATTTTTTG